GGGGGGGGGGGGGGGGGGGGGCAAAACAAGGGGGGGAGGGAGATGATAAGTCAAGCAGTCGGGAGGGTGAAGCGACTGCCACGTCCATCACGTCAGTCTGGCTGTTGCCATGGTCTCCACCTCCTGGATGATCATTCTCAGTGGGGACCAGGTGGCACCTCAGAAGTGCCTCCAAGGGGCCAGCAAAGGTTCACACACACACACACAATACAGGGCAACCCGGTGAAACCTGCAGAGACCAGAACCTGACCGCGAAGGGATGCCTCCAGAAAACATGCTCCAGGGAGACTCTAGGGGGCGCCATGCGGACGGCCAGAACAGCCGAACCGAACACCACGGCCGGTGCCATGGGACTCCAGCACGACACAACAGGTTTTAAAAAGGCCGGCACTAAAAGGCCGGTCGTTTCAGTGAGACTCGATCGACTGGTAAGGTAAGAAAGCTGACATTCTGTAGCACAGAAGCAGCCTTTATCTCCACATGCTTTGGTGTGACGTGTTTAACAGGTGGTGCTGCCCCAAGTAACTCAGTAGGAAAACAAGCCCAGCTTCCAGGTTTGTTTTAGGGTGCAGGATCTCATAAGGTAGCCATAGCTCTTAAATGAAAGGCACTCAACCATCCAAACACTCACTGACAGTGCTGAAGGGGCGGGGCCACAATGTTGATCAACCGTAAAACGTTTCTGTGAATGACAAAGCTGTAATGACAGATCAGGTGACAGTGTGGTAAACACTCGCTTCCTTGTGCCCCACAACGATTCTGTAACCTCATCCCAGACTCCTTTAATGGACGGCCAAGTCAGTCGGCTCAGGGAACCGGGAATCAGTCAGTTACTAAGCCAGTGTGAAGAGTTAAAAACACGCCAGCCTCAAGGTACAAGCTATAAAAACATCTAATGAATGCACTTGTAAAACCAGTCAGGCAACAGAAAAAGGCTCGACGTTGCAATGCCTCATCTGCAAGTTTGCTTTTCTTTTTCATTGGCTCAGGCCCAGCACTCAGGCAGTTTCTGGTGTACAGGAACCCGGACTCATAAGGAGGCCGACAAACATTTGCACAGTAATGTCCCACAAAGGCAGGTTTACCTCAACGCACATCAGGACGCAAGATTCCTCCGCAGCTCGGCAGGCCGGCTTGGGACCTTCTCGAAACCGGCCACGTGAATCGCTGACACACCACGCCATGCAAGATCGCAGCCGAGGTGTGACTATGACCCGTGTTTGAGCCGCTCTCCAATCAGTAAACCGAAGGCAAGTAGATTAAACAATACTGAACTGATCCAATCACAGCGTCGATCTGTTCAATAACATGATGCCGGTTGCCAAGGCAATGAGTGGGATGAAAACGAGAGCATGCACAGAAAGACAACAATCAATCCACGAGCGCAGAGATTTAAGGTCACCGGGCTTCCAATAATGACTAAGGTTGGGTTAATGAGCACCTGAAGGTTAAGGGGAGGGTTTGTGGTTTGTTATTCCTAAACGCTGCTTTGCTCGCCAAACAGGAAGCAACGCCCCAGTCTGAAGCAGGAGATGGAATGTTCTGGAATGACCTTTGCTGTAACACAGTGACAAGTTTAGAACAGAAAAGCACTCTGGGGTTTCTCCTGGGGTCCCGCGCCCCCCCGCACACCCTTATCTCTGATTCCGGGGCTGCCCTCAGGACAGCAGGGAATGAAAATGCCGGCCTAGATGTCGGGCTCATCGCACGCCTCTAGGGATTCTGGGATATGAGGGGATGGGCTTTGCATGGACTGGCGGTAGGCAAACAGGTGCTCAGATGTCAGGGGAAGGCGGGGGGGCTCTAATCAGATCCCAGGTTTCCAGTAGCTGAGCTGAGAGGCCAAAGAGCAACTGAGACGCCACGACATCCCAGTGCAAAGTTCTAGGTTCAAGAATAAATGTGTACTCGACCTTTATTTCGCGCTGAGGGTGCGGGAGCGATTCCCGCCACAACAGGCGGGCGGGAGGAAACGGAGCTTTGGAGCCTGGGGTGCCGACAGCCACAGAGCTAATTTTGTCGAGGAGCACCTAAGAGAGGTCAGGCGAGCTGGGGAGAGGTTGGTTACAGTCCTGTGGGGGGGGGCATGAAGTGGCTGAGTAGGGAGGGAGGAGTCTGTGGCCATCACATGACGAGGTGACCCTGTAACTTATGTCCATGTCTAGGTGTCATATTTACATATTTATATTCTACGAGACAGAAAGGTTGAAATCTCACCGAGCAACATATGGCTGCTGACAATATTGATGCTTCAATGTCTTCCCAGCCTACACTTCACCACCCACACTAATCTTCAGCTTCCTGGTCGACCCCGGGGCTGCGGCTTGGCCTGAGCGCTGTGATTGGCTGTCTTTTCAACTGACCCCGGGGCTGTGGCTTGGCCCGAGCGCTGTGATTGGTTGTCTCCTCAGCTGACCTCAGAGCCATGGCTCGGCCTGAGTGCTGTGATTGGTTGTCTCCCCGGCTGACCCCAGGGCCATGGCTTGGCCTGAGAGGGGGGTTGTACCCGGTACACCCTGCTGGCTTTGATACCCCATCCCTGGGAGTACCCGGGCCGCACAGCGGCACCACAGAGACACAGCACCCCAAGTGCAATGTGAATGCCAGTAGGTTCATGGACCTTAAGGCCCAAATATTTTTCACGAAGTGCCACAGTCTTATGATGCGTGATGATCTGTGGCCAGAGGAGCCTCGGATATCCTCTGACCCCAGACCCGCCCCTGACTTGCACCATCTGGCCGACCTACATCTCGCCTTGTGTCTCAGTTTGACTCACTCGGCCTGTGCTTAGGACCATACGACACATGAAGGGGTCCTACGTGTTGGATACCGCATTGGGGGGGCGGGGGTGGGGCGTGGAATAAAACATATAGACTGACTCCTAAAAGCTCATCTTTTATTAACGATCCTAATGCTGCTCCTGAGAGCCTCACTCCAAATGGGATTCCATTCCCAGCATGGACTGGGGATAATGGACAGCCATTCCAGAGCAAGTGCATTCATTCCTTTGACACAATGGAAAAACAACTGACAACAGGGGAATATTCCGAACCAGATGGGGACAGACCTACACCCAGCTCTGAGGGTCTCTATGTTTCGTCACCGCCTGTCTCTTGTGATGCCACATGAGGCTGTGAGACCACAGCATTAAAAACATGGAGGGGGGCAATTATTGTAAAACCACCACCAGGCCCCACAGTGACTTCCGCTGGCACGGCAGCCCCCCCCNCCACATGAGGCTGTGAGACCACAGCATTAAAAACATGGAGGGGGGCAATTATTGTAAAACCACCACCAGGCCCCACAGTGACTTCCGCTGGCACGCAAGGTCCTCCATGCCCCCCCAGCCTGTCCTGCCAACGTCCCAGTCAATTCTGCCTGGATTTACAGCCACTCATGAGCTGGGCTCCTCCGGCGTCCTGCCAGGAAGCCCATTTCTGCTGGAGGGGAAGTCAGCCTTCTGGCCGAACATGGTTTCACGAGCGGAGATCCCGGAACGGTGCCCGGCTGATCCGAGCCCAAACGGAGAGGCCACGGCAGAAACGGAGATCTGCAAGCCGGAACCACGTCCAGGTCTCTGCACCCAAGCCAAGAATAAGAGCTGCAGGAAGCTGCGTGCATCACGAGGTGTCACATCACGGACGTTCCTGGGTTTCGCATACGGGATGGACCTTTGCCTGGCTGATGCTCTTACGCTCACAGACAGGAGGTCAAACGAACCAAAAGTCACATCGGCTTTTGTGACTGTCTTGGTTATTTTCTCTAATGACCAACATGCAGCCTTTTTGGAAACAAACTGCTGATGTGAGAGAAACCTGCTAATTCCTGATAGAAATTTACTTGTTTGTGATAAAAATCTGCTGCCTCCAGACAAAAATCTGCAGTCTGAAAACACTGCCGCTGCACCCTCACCAGGCCTGTTTCCCTGAAAACCGATTGTGTCAACCTAACCGGGAGGGAAACGCGGCCCAGCGGTGTGTGGCGTGACCGTGAGGCTCCTGAGGGCGACCGTGTGGCTCCTGAGGGCGACTGTGAGGCTCCTGAGGGGCCCCAAAAGAGCAGGGCTGGTGCAGCCTTTCAAATCCAGATACTGATTCTAGGGGGCGACGTGCGGGTCAGCAGGTTAGGATTGTCAGCGGCAATTCTGCAAACATGTTTATAAATCTGAATAAACCACAGAAACTGACCCCCCCTCCCTCTGAAAACGCTGTATAAATAAATGAAGGCCGGTGAGGATTCTGCATCAGCTCCGTAAAGAGCCAGGCTTCACCACTGCGACCTCTGCTCACACAGCAATCCCAAAGCCGACCCCTGTCAGAGACACCCCCCGCCCCCCCCGAGCCTCATGCCCTCAGCCTCAGCTGAGGCAAGTCTTCTCTCCAGAAGCCTTTAATCCAGCGTTGCTGCGGTGGACTTCCAGAGACACACAGTTCTTCAGCGGATCACGTTTACTGGATCTTCTTGGCTCTGGGACAGATCTGACACACCAGGGGGACAGAGCTCCAGAGATGCCACAAGACCAGCAGTTTGGGGGGGGGGGGAAGCTGACTCAGGTTCAGCATGACACCAGAGGAAGTGAGTTTACTCTTGTTTTTTTTATTTCTTAAATTCAGCAAAGATGAAATTGGATCCTTCCAGGAAATTCCCCCTGACTACCTCCTGGATCTCACTCTCCTACCAGGTGTTCAGTGGCTCTCTGTCAAGAGGAGTCTGAACACTGAGACATCACCACCGTGCCACTGTCATCCTGAGAGAGGCCATAAATATGGCTCAGGAATGACAGATAAATCCTGGGGATTCATCTCAGGGAGGAACGAGAATCGATGGCGGAGCACAGCACAAATCCGTCAGCGTGAAAAATACCTGCTCTGCCAATGATCTGTTTGGGCGAAACAAATTAGAAGCAGGAAGTAAAACAGACACAGGAGCTGCTGACACTGAGATCACAACGCAGATATTCAGTCTCAAGCATGCTGGCAATTCTGCAGACATGTTTGTAACCATGGAAAGTTTGGATAAACCAGAGAAAAAAGGAAATAGAACCATTTTTAAAACATGGCAGGTGGACGAAATGGTGAAAGGTAAGATTTGATCCACCAGAAGCATTTTCGTTCCATTGCACAAACCGATTGGCCTGGCTGAAGGACAGTGGGGACAGGGTGAAGCGGTCACACACCGTCCATCAATCAGCACAGCCAATCAATATGTTTTCATTTCAATGTTTGTCACTGCATGGAGCGGAGGTGGCCACACAGGAACGGGGAGTCACAAGTTTGCTCAACTCTTCCCCCTGCTGGCTGGGGTATGAATACAAATTTGTCATGGCAAGAACCTCTCCATGAGTCACACCCATGGGCAGGCAGATACTGTTAGCTTATGGGACAAGCTTTAAAAAAACAGCCAAACCCTTTATGCATTTTGGCTTTCGTTAGTTAAATTAGTAATAAATTGTAAATTCAGCACCCCCACTTCACTTCTGGGCGCCTCTAGTTTCCATTCTCAGACGTGAACGAACGCAGAGCTTTCGAGAAACAATCCCAGAACCCCCTGGTCTCACGCCTGCATTCCAGGCTGTGCTCGTCTCGGCAGTACTGAGCCCCGCACAGCGCTTGGCAATGGGCCGTTTCGTGCCACGGGCCAGAAAGGAGATCAGTAATGCTACCGTTTTTTGGAAGAACACAAATGGAGCAGCGCTCCAATATCCCTGCTTATCCCTGTGTCCGCTCTGCTATCCCAGCGCCGCCGGTCACCGAAATAGGACAAAAGAAATGCAGCTTTCACGGAACGTCTCGGTGGGTCTGTGTCTGTGTCCAGGTCATGGGTTCAAATCCACAGGCTACAGAGCAATCATATCATCTCTGGGCCCTTGAGAGAGACTGACCCCGCGCTCTGGCCCTGATCTTTCCTCACTCGTACGTCACTTTGAACAAAAGCATGTGCTATGTAAATAAATATAAACGTCTGGCTGTGTGGTCGGCCTCAGAAAGAGAAGAGGCGGTCAGGAGCAGACACTGGATGACGCAGAGGTGGGGGGCTATACGATGAGTTAATGCAACAGATGCCAGGCAAGCAACTTAGGGGGGGCCATCACCGGTCCCGGCACGGAGCAGAGTTGCACACGGCAACTGGACCAGTGTGGGCGCGTACCTCTCCGTGTTCTGAACCGGGGGTAACGCCGGGGAAAGCTGTCCTCAGGACGCTGATCCCCAGGGCACCAGCACCGAGTGAGAAGAACATGCAGACACTGTTATTCTCCATTTATGGCCCCTGGGGAGCCCCCTAGTGGCTGGTACCACCTGCTGGACCCCACCACACAGGGTGAGGAGGTGAAACTGAAGGGCCGCATTTGATTCCCTCCTGCATATCCGGCCTTGGTGTGTGACCAGAGCTTGCACGTGCCGTCAAGGGGGTCCCACTGAAAAGGTCACTTCAGGGACCCCCTCAGGTGAGGTTTCAAAAACTAAAGAAATAGCTGGTGAGCAGAGCCAGAAGCGGGGGCCCCAAACCTCAGGGGCCCCACGCAAATGTGTGGCTGGGCTGCGGTAAACAGCTCTGCAGCACACAGGAACTGAGCCCCCCTACAATACACACAATAGGGACCTGAAGGAACCCACCAGAAGGGGCCACAGTGCTTCTTAATGGCATTCGCTTAGCACTCACATTTTCCACTAATTAATCATTAATAAAAGCTGCAAAGCCCTTTATACCTGAGAAATCAGACAGTCATTCTGGTGATTTGGGTGAGGGCTGGAATGCGGAGGGACAGAGTGAGCCTCTTCCATTGCTGACACGGTTAAAAAAAGGGTGAGAACAGGGATGTGAGACGTGACAAACGAGCCATGAAGGTGCCCGGTCTGACC